GACATATTGCCACAATCCTGAATACCTGATGGCTGAGATCCTCTTCGAGGGCTCCGCTAAGCTCCTCCTTTCGGTTGTTTATCGACCACCTCATTGTGGCAATCTATCAGAGTTTTTCAACACTTTCCGGGATCTCGAACTTCTCTACTCACACACCATCATCTTGGGCGACTTTAATGCTGACCTCTCCACCGCCTCCTTCGACGCTGGGCAGATCCTGAATTTCGTGGATGGTGCCAACATGCACCTGGTACCCTACACCAACACCCATCACACCAGGTCATCCTCCACCTGGCTTGACCTCTGTATTGTCGACGACCCTGAAAAGGTTGTCAACTCCGGACAGCACGACGTTAGCTTCCTCTCCTCGCATGATCTCATCTACATTGCCTACAAGATCAGGGTTGAAAGGACAAAGATCAGGAACGTCTGGGCAAGGGACTTCAGGTTCTTTGACCACGAGAAGTTCTCCAGGGATCTATTAGCTAAGAACTGGAACGAGTTCTACATTGCTAACGACGTCGATAGTAAGGTCGAACTATTTAACTCCTTTCTACTGGAGTGCTTCGACCAGCATGCACCGGAGCGTCTTACTAGGCCTCGGAAGCTCCCTGCACCCTGGCTAAGCGACGAGATCAAGCGCAGGATGCGCGAAAGGGATAGGGCCAGGAGATTGTGGAGAAAACACAAATGCGATCGACTATACAGCCTGTTCAGGGTTCTCAGGAACGATGTCCAGACGCTGGTGAGAAACGCCAAGAAGGAATACTACACCAATTTCTTCAGGAATTGCAGGGACCCTGGCACTATGTGGAACAGTCTGAGGCACCTAGGAATTATCAAATCGAGGAACTCTGGATGTCCGCTACCATGTTCTCTAGATGAGCTCAACCTCCACTTCGCCTCTGCCGGCGATAGAGAAGAGGCACCGAAACCTGAGCAGCTGCACGCGGACGACGGCGCTTTCGACGACAGCAGATTCTACTGGGGCATTGTGACACCGGAGGAAATCGTTTCGGCGCTCTCAAGAGCACGCTCCCAGGCCAGGGGCATTGACAGGCTCCCTAGTAGATTGCTGCGCCTCGCTCTCCCGTGTCTTCTGCCGGAGATGCTGCATATTTTCGAGAGCTCTTTTGCACTCAATACCTTCCCTACCTTGTGGAAGCGTGCGCTAGTTGTTCCGCTGCCCAAGTGTAGGGCGCCCGAATCTCCTCAGCATTTCAGGCCTATCTCCCTGTTATGCAGCATTTCCAAGGTCCTCGAGAAGATTGCTGCCAGGCAGATCACCGAGTATCTGGAGAGCAGGGATCGCCTGGATCCATATCAGTCTGCCTACAGGCGTGGTTTCTCCACCCAGACTGCCCTGATCAGGATGCTTGACGACGTGAGATATGCCGCTGACAGAAGGATGGTGACTGTGTCTGTCTTCTTCGATTTCATCAAGGCCTTCGATTGCGTATCTCATAGACTGCTCATCAACAAGTTAGCTTCCCTCGGACTCTCAAGCTCTGTACTGAGCTGGTTCCGCTCATACCTCTCAGACAGAAGCCAGGCAGTAAAGGACACCTCTGGCTGCAATGTTTCATCTTTCATTGAGATAGGATGTGGAGTACCTCAAGGCTCTGTACTGGGTCCACTGCTTTTCTCTCTGTTCCTCTCCGATTTTAGGCATGCCCTCCGACACAGC